CATCTGGCGAGTGGTAAGCAATTTGTAAGACTTACGTAGTTCAAAAATTGAAAATCGAAACGGTTTCAAGAACATCACCTTAATTAGAGCTCTTTGAGCTCTTTCTAGTCCTATTAGATGTGTTTTTGCTGCACCACCCCAAACGGGTATGCAATAACTCATTACAGATTGCGCTAGAGCTTTGTAGGTGGTGATAAGACTTGTATCATTTTCAACACACCTAAGTTTTTTGAATACCCATGTTAGTTTCCTTATCCTGTCAGCAATGTTTTCAATGTGTTAACTCCAGGTAAGGTGCTGATCAATAGTTACACCGAGATATTTGATGGTACTAGTCTAAGTCAGTTTCGAATGCTATCACGCAGAAAAACTACACTAAGTTTCTCTGCGTGATAGCATTCGAAAAGAAGAAATAAAACCAGAATAACCAACATATCGCAAAGGATCAGCAAGCTGAAGTGGCAATGTGTTTGCCATGTTGAAACATAAGAAACACAGCAACATAAAGCCACTATTTTACGCTGGTATTCTGAAAGACGCCCCATTTTTTTTAAAAACATTACCCCCTCACTAGGAGTTTCTCCTGTATCGTGGAGGCCCGGAACAATTATTTAATGGACATATAAATACTTGTTCCGTGCAGGATTCAAACCACTGGCTTTCGGCGCGGCAACTTATTACTATACCACTGTACCTCGGAGTCGTCAAATTGCGACGTGGTGTTGAAATGAGCGACGTAATTTTTTGAAAAAATTGTCAAAATCTCGTCGCTTATCGAACTATGGTGTACGTTTTGCTCGGAATTTCTCTGTATGATAGGATTTGTAATGAAGATATTCGCAGTAGGACCAGAGTAACCAACATATCCCAATGAATTAGCAAGCTGAAGTGGTAATCGGTTGGCCGGCTATATAGCTTGAAAAATCACAAGGAAGTTTCTCGAGCCTTGTCCCGGTAAGCGAATAGGTGGGGCGGCTTCTCACTAGATGTAGTGACAATCTGGTAAGACATGCAAGAAGTCGATGGATGCAGGCGATTTAGGACTGTATTTGGTAACATTCTTTGGGGGGACCCAACGTTCTCCAGTGGAAATTTGAAGGGCAGTAATATTTGTAAAAATATTTATTTTTATTTCTACTACCGTTTCGAATTAGGACTCCTCTTTCAGAGTATAAACTTCGTTCTGCTCCAATGCATATTGGCAGACTTCACAAGTTTCCCGCGATATTTTTCTTCAATACTTAGCACGTGTAAATCAGGTTTTAAAATTGTAATCAACAATTTCATTGATAATACGTGGTAGAGCCATGATATAGCTATACAAAACGTAGTAAAGCCATTGTGGTTTTGGTACAAATGTGTCGGCTTGACCACGGAAGGACTACGCTCTCACAGAATACCAGCATAAAATAACAGATTTATGCTGCTATTTTACGTCCTATTCATGCTAGAACCATAATAAAACTGCTGTGAGTGTCTACCACGTATAAATTTATGATATTCTAGGAGCAGTACATGTCTGGGCTGCCAAGCGTGGTGTTCTCGCTGGCAGCACTGGGGCCAGCACTGCTGGCGCGGCTGTTGCCCGACACCAGCTGCGCACCACTGCCCGACCACGTGGCGGACGCCGAGCGCCTGGACGACTCGCCCCATGCGACCCAAAGCCAACTTGAAAGGGTCACTGCTTCATCTGTCTCAATTAAGCAATTATAGCCACATGAACTAGCTGCGAGCTCAACCGATATCTTAATCACGTAACCTGATTGACTAAGCTCAAGTACTAATAAACTGCATGACCTAGATGTCAGAGCTCTACCGCCAAAGTTGATCTAGCAACGAGCTCAGCTGCTAATGTATCAATGAACAATGCTTTTTGTAGGGGCGGAAGAAAATTTATCATCCCTCTTTATCCTGTCGACTTTGAAAGAGGCATCTATGAAAATACCCGAAATACCTCATGGCTCTCCATAGATGGTGACATAAACCTCTCGTTTAAGAAAGAGTAAAAGAATATTTATTCGTAGCCAAAACACAAATTCAAGCTGAAAACAAATTAAAAAAAATTAAATTGAGCTCCAGCAAGGAAACGCTCATCGACTCAACATAAGCTAAAGTCAAATTGCCCAACACTATTCTTTTGCTTTGCCTTGGGATGTTTTAAGCTAGTAGCATAATCAATGTTTCAATTTCAGTTCTGAGATCACCGAACAGGTGACCAAGTATAGGCAATAAGTGTAAATACAGTAAATATTTCATGAAATGGAAGAGGCTCATGCCTATTAGTGGACTGCTATGCCCTACTGATGCTGAAGAAGATATGCATAAAGCTTAATTTAGTATTATTGACATTGAGCTCGTTTAGTAAGTATATGAGTATGTACTTACATAGATTGTCCAACCATCGAACTCCAAAAGTGCGATCAAACCAGAGCGATCCAATATTCGAGCCACAAATCAAGCCTCCGCATAGACATTGCAAAATTAAAAAATCTTGGTGAGAACGAAAATGGTGGACGCTAATTATATGTAAAACAATAAGAAAATAATAAGTTCCTCTATACACCGCATGGACCGCAGGAACCTCTATACACCGAGAATAAAAAGGTTCGTCGAAAGTTAATGGTCGATGTATGTAATACCGCTATATGAGTTTGTAATCGCTACACAAAATTGTGACATCAAGTTTGGTGAAATAAACATACAGTGATGTGACATCGGAGAATTGCTAAACGATTTAAGCATTGCATAAATAATTTTTTGCGGATTTTATCGCGTTTAATGTTTCGATTTTGTATTGCAACACCCACGGTCACAGGGAGACTATCCACACGAAACGTCTGCAATTAAAAATAATTAAATTGAACGTGATAAATATGTAGCGGCGCTGTCGTCGCCGCCACAAGCGAAAACACACCGAAGCCGTAAGCGTAAATCGCGCTATCAACATTCTGAATCATAAACAGTATATATAGAACATTTCCGAATTATCACATGGAGTGTCGGCCGCTCCCCGGGCAGAACACCTTGCCCGGCGGGAGATCTCCCCTTTTCCTACCACGGCCACAGTGGTGACCCCGACGTGATCTGAACATGCAACCAAACAACCTTCGGAAACTTCAAGCTTCATCATTGTCATAGAATACCCCACTGATGAGCAGATATCGTCTGCAGTCCTCATATCCTGCAAGCCCTCTAGCTTCACAAGGCGCATCGCAGCACTGGAATAATAATGCTTCCTGTTCCTTCAAGCTACTCTCTGCGCCATACAGTGTTCGGCACGGCTCTGAGCCTTACTGCTCGCCTCTGCCTCATGGCACTCTCGCAAATTACTTGCCTTCTTCTCGACTCACCGCAGACTACAAGGCAATCTCCTGGCACTTGCACATTTGTCGGCAACGAGGCTGTGCACTATCGACCTCCAGTCTGAGCAGGGGGGTGATGTAGCGGCGCTGTCGTCGCGCCACAATCGAAATACACCGAAGTCTAAATCACGCTATAAACTTTCCGAATCATAGACAGTAAATATAGAACTCCGAATTATCACATGGAGTGTCGGCCGCTCCCCGGGCAGAACACCTTGCCCGGCGGGAGATCTCCCCTTTTCCTACCACGGCCACAAATATAAGAAATCATTATGGGAACTAAGCATTCTGAACTGAAGGTGGACACGTGATATTCCGTACTCCGACTTACTTATAGTGTTTAATATCGGCTGTTTACTACCATTTTCGAGACTGAGAAGTTATTTATAGCCAAGAGTGATAATAATAATAGTAAAAAACCTATTTATAATAATTCCAATAATTTTATGTAAATAAAAAACATATCAGTACTTTTGCTTTACAGACGGTTTTCGGCCACGGAAACTCGCTGGTAAAAAAAGATCGGAATGCGCCTGTATCGTGGATACGACTGCGTGTCTTACGTTAATACTTGTATGTAACGAAACGACCTCAAGATGGCGGCATTAGAGTCTTCACACAACGTAACTAGCTCTTTGATTATTTAGCTGTCGAGTGGCATCACTAAATTTAGAATGTAGGTGATATATATGTGGCTGCAATACCAAACTGTATCCCCCGATTTTCTTGTCATCAGTTTTCAGAATTGCCTCCAACTACGGAAACGAATTCAAAGACGTTTTCAATTCAAAACATCGCAAGCACATTGAAATACTAGTTTTTATGGATTTTAATTGCGTATATTGACGTATATTTAATATTCGCAATGTTTCGGGTACTTTACAGCACCCATGGTCCCAATGTCATAATTAAACACGTATAACTTCACATTAAGTACAGGTAATAAGTTAAAAAACGAAATTAAAAAACTTGCTCGTCGATGCATGAAGAAAAAGAGGTTCCATTTTGAGGTATCAATATTGGTTATTGGGACTACTTGCGTATTTATGTTGTAAAAATTTATTCATTTTTCAATAATGACAGTCGTCGGTTACGTCGTTGACAAGAAACATTTTTTTAATAAGACGATACTAACCCCGTTAAAAGTGTGAAGTGATAATTATAATCATAATTCGCGTCGTGTAGTTACTAACTTAACTTAAGCATTAGTAGTGAGCGTGTACCTAAGAAAAGTAGGCAAAAATTTTGTGAATTGAATCGCACAAAGGAGCGCGCGTACGCGCAGCTGTTGCCCATAAATCACATTCAATTTGGAATAATTTCCTATAAAAGTAGAAGCCTTATTTACTTGTATTTTCAAAAACTACAATAATGGTATATAATTATTTATATATTTGGTTGTGCGCTGCGGGTCACAGGTTTGAATCTCGCACGTTACAAGTTACTATCTGTTTGACCTACAGGTAATTGTTCTGTATCTGGAAATATATATATATATATATATATATATATATATATATATATATATATATATATTATTTTTTATATATATAAATATAAATTACGTGTCACATTGTTTGTCCGCGATGGACTCCTAAACTACTTTTTCCCACATATTACGTATAATTAGTGTAACTGCTATAGTTGATGAACTGATTGCCACGGCAGGAGAACCGTCTGTATAAGCATCGCATAGTTTAAGTTATTTAGCCATATAACATATTTAAGTCAATTATTTTTATACATTATCTTTTTATATATTTTTGTTTCCATACATCACCTGAAATACGTGTATTTTTTAATTATATGTAAATATGTGTTTTATACGTGGTAGAGCCATGCTGCAGTTATATTAGAAGTATAGTTGTAGCTCGAATGGGTCGGCTCGACCGGGGAAGGACCACGCTCTCACAGAATACCAGCGTAAAATAGTAGTATTAATACTACTATGTTTCGTATGTTGAGTGTAGAGAACCAGAGACCCTTTTTACTGGAAACGAGGCATTCCATCTTAGTCCTTACGGGTAACAACGCATCTGCATTTTGATTTGTAATCGAGGATAGATGTGGATGTATATGGGCCACAGCAACCACTTACCACCAGGTGGACTGTGTGCTCGTTTATCACTCTATCCTATATAAAAAATGTACACTTTGTACTAAACATATCAGAATTTGTGATATTTACAAATATATAACCAAATACCCAAATTGTGAACAGTGTCATCCCTAGGATGAATAGGCTTCGTACCATGGCCTTTATTTACAAACGAATTGTTAAAAGTAAAACGAAAAAGAAAGTATTTATACAAATTGTAATTATTTTCTATCGTTAATTAAATTATATGGAATAATTAAACATAAGGGTTACAAATGTGCACACAGTCCAACTAATAGTAAAGAGATGCCCTGGTCCATAGACACATCTATCATCGATTAAGAATCAAAATTTAGATGCATTTTCAGTGCTGAGAACTAAGATAGACTGACTCGTTACCAGTTAAAAGGGTCTCCGGTTTTCGCTTTTATTCTGTGAGAGCGTGGTCGTTCCAGGTCGACCTGATTCATTTGATTAATATGTTTGTTGATAGGCGCCATTTTCTATTAAGAATAAGCTTGATAGAATTGAGATTGAATCTTATTTCTACCTTATATTTTTACAATATTACATATATTACTTATTAGATAGAATTCGTATGAAGTTGGCATGTGCATTTTTTTACCAATTTAACATTGTAAAAAATAAATATTTTACTTAAACTATGTGTTTATGTTACTTTAAACGACTCCTGAAAATTCGCATGCGGAAATAAAATATATACCCAGGAGATGATTGTAGAACCCTTCTTATTCTATAAAATTCACTTATTCTATAAAAAAGAACTGAGCTTGAAAATCACTTACTGTAATTAAGTAACGCCAATACATTTAGGTTTTTTTTTTTAATTTACTAAGCACTAATAATTGCCTATGAACTTAGATTTTCAACAAGAAATGATATCGAATATTGATATATTTTTCAAATATACATTTTACATATGAATTCTTATCTATTTGATTACATATAATCTCAGGAAACAGTTATTACAGCCTGTGAGTGATTACCACTTTCCGGCTTATATCTTCTTTTTCTTCAGACATTCTCAGATGTTGAATTACTCCTTTTCGCAGGATCACACTTACCGGTGCTAAAGTTATGTATACAATTTCTTTACGTGGAATTGTATTGTCCTTCAAATATATCCTTTGTGATGTACTTTTTCTCTTTTAAGCTCGGATTTTCAGGAAAATTGCATAAATGGTTTATGTAAATAAATATATCTTATTTTGTTTAAACAACTACCAATAGTAGTAAATAATACAGTAATGTTAAGCAAACACCAGACAAAAGCAAAATTGGAAGAAACTGTGGAAAATACATATTATGACTTTCTTTTACCTTTTACACTACCCAACCCTTTTTGGGTGATTGGTCGTGAAGTGAACATACAGTGTAGTAATGATACAGTATGTAGTAACGAGAAGATTGAATCTAAAAAAAATATAAAAAATTTTCAATGATACCTATCAACGAAACAAAATATAAATTTAACTAAAAAAAATCTAAGAACTTCTTCATAGGTCATACCTTTTTCATCGTATTTGATCCTAGCTATTTTGCTTGTTTTTATGCGAATTACAATTTTAAGAGCGACAATATTTTCTGGTTTACCGGTATCAGTAAAATGTTGTTACATCCCTAGTAATTTTTGTTTCTAATATTTCATCATCATTCATTATTACAGTCCTTCACAAGTCCACTGCTGAACATAAGCCTCCCACAAAGAACGCCATAAAGCACGGCCTTGAGCCACCAACATCCATCGACTTCCTGCATGTCTTACCAGGTCGTCACTCCATTCAGTGGAGGGTCGCCCTTCACTTCGCCTACCTGTACGAGGCGGGCACTCGAGAACCTTTTTTCCCCATCGGTTGTCAGTTCTTCGAGATATATGGCCGGCCCATTGCCACTTCAGCTTACTAATCCGTTGGGCTTTGTCGGTCAAGTTGGTTCTACTGCGGATATCGTCATTCCTAAGTTTATCACGCAGGGAAACCTCGAGCGTAGCCCTTTTCATAACTCGCTAAGCAACCTCGAGCATTCTCATATGGCCAGCAGTGAAGTAGCACATCTCAGATCCATAGGTCATCACTTGAAATACGCACTGGTTGTACAATCTCGTTTTCAGGTTTTGAAGTAAACGTGACGAAAACATGTATCGTAATTTACCGAACGCTGCCCAGCCGAATTGAATCCGTCGATTGACCTCTCGGTCGAAGTTGGACGTACCTAGTTGGACTATTTGTCCCAGGTAAACATACTCGTCAACAATTTCGAGCTTAGTGCTACCAACAAATACCGGCAAATATAGGTGTGACAAAGACGTTACACGTGATCTTTGTTATACGTTTAGAGACACTATACGCTTGGAGACACTATTGCATAATGCTTAGATCCTCCAGAGATTCTGATATAAATACTATATCGTCGGCAAATCGAAGGTGAGTGATGTACTCACCATTGATGTTAATACCGTTGCTTTACAGTTCATTCACTTGAAAACGTCTTCCAATGAAGCGGTGAAGAGTTTCGGGGATATAACGTCACTCTGTCTTACACCTTTCTGAGGTGGGCGCGTAAACCTATATACCGTTCGGTGATTCTGAGTATACGGTTCACAATCCTCGTCGAAACACTCACAATCTTTACAAAGTTGTTAACGAGCTGGTGATAGAACAAGTTGCCGGATTTAAGGATTACCGTGCCCTCCCCTACTCTTCGGACTTCAGATAATCCTATAATATCCCAGTGCAACTTGTTTATCTCTTCTTCCAGCTCCAGGATCTTCTTGTAAGTCCTCAGGTTGCGTGCGTTGTATGTTGCCACGTAAAGTCGTCACGTCACATGGTCGCCACCGTAGTCAGGAATAGCGGGGCCGTCGGGGACTGCGATCCGTTTCTTCGTAACTATTATCATGTTGTTTGCCATAGTTGTCACGCTTGGCGAGCGGGTTGGTAACCGCAGTTTTTTTTATTGTACAGTTGCTGCTATCAGGAAGATGCTGCAGCCCATCTCCTGCATGTGTCCCTCTGTCGCCTTACGACACCCACATATGTGGTAGTGGATATTCTTAACCGCCACTACACGGCACTAATTTCTAATCTTTATAAAACATAAATAATTTCGTCTTACTGGTGAAATTATACACCACTTTTATTCAAATTCCACATAGGGCTGTTTTATGACACGCTTTTTTCAGACAATTCGGCATTTTTTAAATAAATGCATCCAGCAACGCTTGGCGCAAAAATTATGCAGCGACTGTAACGCCAAAAGAGATGTGTTGACTATAAAGGTGTGAATTGACATGTATCACAGTAGTCCATGGTCCTATCGAACTATGAGACAAGAAATGGAGAGTACGTTTGTGCTTGTGCAAACACTCATGTACTATATTCCTATCCTGTGCAGATGGCTAGTTACCGTTGAGTCCACCGTGACCAAAAGGCATTTTATTATAATTAGACTTCATTATCATAATATTTTTGAAATGGTCAGATGGATCAAAATGAGAATTAAAATTTACTATTTCAAAGGTTGTGCTCTGTTGGTTTCTTGATCAGTGTTTTGCTTAGAGCTTTCACCTCTGTTCCACCTAAGTTAAAAGAGGTATGTGGAGTCAACCAGATCATCGTATCAAATAAGCCCGCTCAATATTCCCGGTCCCACAAGTCGATAAGAAACCATTAAAAGTATTTATATCCGAAGTTTAAAGAAGTTTCTTAGAAAAAAGTTTAAGGAAATAATTATAAAAAATTTGACTCTCAGAATATTTACGAAAAATTGATGTACCTATGTATACAAAAAAGTATATAGTGATAGTGATGCACAACGTGCATTTTGTAATTACTAGAAATAAGAATAAGTTAGTTATACCAGTTACTTTTACAACAAAGTTCCAGAAAATAGGCAGGATGATTTCATAAGTTTACGTGACCCCTACACATTTAACTGGTCACGAGTGCTGTAAAACACTAGAAACGTCTGGAATACAAAATAATTTAACCGTAAAAATTAGTTTCATTTAAACCTGCAGTAGGTCCGGCTAAATTAAAAAATTATTTAGAATAAATTGTTGATTTAGTAGTTTAGCACAACAAAACAGTACGTGATGAATATTAACCAGTGATAAGGGGGTAATCGTTATCATGTCGTTTTAAAGGTTTTCTTATTTATTCGCATAACATTTTTTCTTTAAAAGCCTCGCCGGGTTTTGCCGGCTCTTCCCGAGACAGAGATTTTTTCCAAACTAGTGGTAAAGCTGAAATGGCTTTAATAAGCATTCTTGTAATCTATCGCTATATATAAACATCAGTGGCCGTCCGTCAGTCTTGACAAAACATGATTTTGATAATTATTTTGTGTGTATTTGAGTGGATCCTCAGATTGTTTAAAAACTTAGTTGAACCCGATAGTTGGGCGGATTGTTATTTTTGAATAAAAATGATTCTATCATATTCTGAAATTGAATTAATGCTACAATATTTAAAAAAAAAACCTAATAATACTGATATAAAGAAGTGTACTGTAAATCAATCAAATTGATTATACAGTAAGTAGACGATGGATTTACTTATCGCTAATTGTACATTGCTCAAGATATAAGAATGTTTGAAATTAATAATGTTTTTTTTTTATTGTTATCCGGGTTTTGATTGCAAAAATTAAAACCACTATTTCATGTCAAACTAAGACACAATCAATAAGAGTTTTCCAACGTCTGATAAATGACCATTTCAAAAATAGCTACACGTAATTTTACTTGTACTTGTATTTTAAACGTTGTAGAGCCATGTTGCAGCTATATTATGGTTGTAACACGAAAAGTTCGGCTCGATCTGGGAAGGACCACGCTCTCACAGAGTAACAGCCTAAAATAGCAGCACAGTGCTGTTGTGCTAGTGTGATGAGTGTAGAGAACCGTATACCTTTTAACTCCTGGCCTCTCTCCTGGCCTTTGGCCATATTGTTACTTCAGACTTAAAAGATGACACGGATTTGGAACGTCAACGTAGATCTCTGTGTGTGGTAGGCAATATGATTACGCGAAAATTCTGCAAGGCATCGCCGGACGTGAAAATTACACTGTTTAGATCTTTCTGCCAATCATTTTACACGTGTCAACTCTGGGTAGACTATACCAAGAAAACACATGATAGTATACGGAAGACTTATAATAATATTTTTAGACTTCTAATGGGATTTAATCGCTATTGTGGTGCTTCTGAAATGTACGTGAAAACCCGGGTTGATTCTTTTAATGCTATCCATCGGAAGAGGATAGCATCATTTATGTCCATTGTTGACTTGTGTAACAACTCTATTGTGCGTAGTTTGGCAGATAGGCAGATACAGACTGCAATGTACAGATGTTCGGTGAAAGTTGCTAGGTGACGATATATACGATATGTATATATATGCAATATTATATTTTCTTGTAAATATGGATCTTTGTGTCTGCAATAAAGGATTATTATTATTATTATTATTTTGGGGTATCTATATAATTTTCTCACCTGGTTGGGTTCTCTAAATATATAATTATAAATTAAAATGAAAAGATGAATGTACATAAATATCAATAAAATAAAATAAATACAAAAACTACATAAATAAATAAGATCCAACCAGATGGGAGCCCTCGGCAGGGGAGACCAGACGGCCGAGGGTTAGGGGGAAAGGGAAAGAAACCGGCGGACGATGCGGGCGGTATCGAGGAGCACCGCCTTCTGCATTTGAGCCCGGAGCGGTCCGTCACGGAGTACCAGTCGCCTCAGATGACCCGAGAGGCTGAATGGGATTAGCCCATTCGCAGAGACGACTACAGGAATAATTTCGGTCGACACACCACCCCACATGTCGGTCACCTCGTGAGCCAGGTCCAGATATTTTGTTTGTTTATCTGTTTCGGCTTTCACGAGGTTCTCGTCATACGGAATGGTAATGTCGATCAAAAATATCCTTGACTGTGCCCGGTCCATCAGCACAATATCAGGCTTATTCGCAAGAATAGTCCTGTCTGTGATGATGGCCCGGTCCCACTAGAGCCTGGCGCGGTCATTTTCGAGCACGGCTTCCGGCAAGTACTTGTAATACGGCAATTTCCGGTCCACGAGACCGTATTTCAGAGCGAGCTCCTGGTGTAGAATTCTGGCTACTAGGTTGTCTGTGCAAGTACTCAGAGTTAGAAAGCACCGAACAACCGGAGATGACATGCCTAAGTGGCTCCCCGGGAAGGCGCAAAGCTCGACAGACGTCGACAGTGCCATTCTTTAGGATGTATCTCCGATAGTTGTTGGTCTTAATAACCTGATCCTGTATTGCACAGACAAAACCCTCGGTTTCCCCGAAGAGGTCACCGAAACGTAGCCAGTTGAGGAAGGCGGCTGTATCTACGCGAGGCTCATGTAGAGTCCTGTAGTACCTCCCATGGAGCTCCTTCTCCTTCCATACGGTCTCCCGGTCGGAAATGCTCTGTACTGCCGGGTCTTGCCATTGCTCGTTGGCTAAGGATAGAGGGGTAAGTCCTTTATCACTAGAAATTGACGTCATTATAGAATGGATCATCCGATCTTGCCAGGAAGTAATGACGGAGGCTGCACACTTCGCGATTATGCATGGTGAGCGCGCTCAGAATGCCACGCCCACCATGCTTCCGCGACAAGTACAACCTCATTACCGACGATCTCGGATGATGCATCCTATGGGACGTCATGGTAGTGCGGACTTTTCTATCCAGGGCGTTAAGTTCAGTCTGAGTCCACCTGAGTATGCCAAAGCGTAGCCAGTGGAGGGAGGCTACTGTGTCTACGAAAGGCTCATGTAGAGCCTTGAAGAACCTCCCGTGGAGCTCCTTCTCCTTCCATACGGTCTCTCGGTCGGAAATGCTCTGCACTGCCGGGTTTTGCCATTGCTCGTTGGCTAAGGATGGAGTGGTAAGTCCTTTATCACAAGAAATGACGTCCATATAGAATGGATCATCCGATCTCGCCAGGAAGTAATCACGGAGGCTGCACACTTCGCGATTATGCATGGTGAGCGCGCTCAAGAAGCCACGACCACCATGCTTCCGCGACAAGTACAACCTCATTACCGACGATCTCGGATGATGCATCCTATGGGACGTCATGGTAGTGCGGACTTTTCTATCCAGGGCGTTAAGTTCAGTCTGAGTCCACCTGAGTATGCCAAAGGTATACATGAGGACAGGCATGACCCAACCTTTATATGCATGTGTCTTATTGACACCGGACAAAAGGCTGTTACCGATGTTCTGTGACATACCCAGGTATCGGTATGTTTCAGCCTCGGAAAGGGCCCTTAAGTTGACGGGCATAGATAAGTCTATGCTCTCAGAGTTAGCAACCCTTCCCCTTTCAACATGGAGGACCGCACACTTATCCGTCCCCAGCTCCATTCCAATAGAATTGCTAAATTGACAAGTGATGTTTAGCAATTCCATAAGATGGGAGCGACTGGAGGCGAATAATTTAAGGTCATCCATATAGAAAAGGTGGGTCACTTTTGTACCTCCTTTCCGAAGCTGAAATTCCCTCCCGGAGCCCTCCAGTAAAGTACTGAGAGGGTTCAAAGAGAGGCAGAACCAGATTGGACTCAGACAGTCGCCCTGGAATATACCCCTTCTTATCCTTATGCGGCTTTCCGCAGCCGTCATCCGCTCACCCAGATGACAGAGAATCGTACTCTACTGCTCCATACACTGCTCGAGGAAGTCTCGAACTGTACAGTCAATCTTGTACAGCTCGAGGACCCTCGTTAGCCATGTATGGGGCACCGAGTCAAATGCCTTTCTGTAATCTATCCAAGCGGCGGAGAAGTTCCGACGGTTGCGTTTCACTACTTTGCCAATCACCGCGTCAATGAGGAGTGGTTCCTTGGTTCCACGACCGCCGCCCCGACATCCATTTTGAGCGCGCGACATCACCTGATTTGAGTCCAGGTGACGAGCGATTCTCGCGCTCAAAATGGATGTTAGTGTCTTGTATATAGTCGGTAGACACGTGATGGGGCGGTATTTGCTCGGGTCTGTGGTAACCTGGTCTTTAGGAACCAAATGAGTGATCCCAGTAGTGAAGAGGCTAGGGAGTGACTTCTGGTTGAGAGCCTCTTGAAACTGACGGGCGAGCACAGCGTGACACACCATGAACCCCTTCAGCCAGTAGTGATGCAGTCCGTCGAGTCCCGGACTTTTCCAGTTCGGGGCTCTACGGACCGCCTCAGCTACGTCATCCGGCGTTATGATGACGGGGTCCATGGGCGTAATACTCGCAAACTGACTCGCCACAACTTCCGTCCAAGGGCCCTCGCTGTGGTTTACGGGCTCCGACCACAGGCCACGCCAAAATGCGACAGTGTTAGCCTGGTCCGGCCCTGTTCCCGCTCCACATAACTCTGGTCGCTCCAATGATTTGTAGAGCCTCTTCTGATCACTCTGGAAGAGACGATTCTGGTTGAACCGCCTTGACCTCTCGGTAAATCGGCGAATCCGCTTCCACCAAGCAGCAATCTTTTGCTTCAGGTCGTCTATGCGCTCCCTTAGTTTCTGCGTGATATCCGGCTGGGACAAACTGATATTTGTCCCAGCAAACGCCATTCTAACGGTGCGCACAACCCTCGGTCTATTATTACCCGACCTGAAGCTTATCAGTCTGCCGATAAGGGCCCTTGCCTTTGCGATACGGTCCTCAATTCTTTTTCTCCAGGCTGGGATGGCGCTACTTTGTTTAGTAGCGCGTCCAGCCGTGGGAAGTATGGCGCCAATAATACGGCAAGCTGCCACTGCGGCGCCAAAAAGAACTGAGTCCGTCTCGCAGAGGTCCCGGCTGGCTTCCAAATAGGTTACCAGCATTGGGTTAAGAGGCGACCCCCAGGCAGCGGCCCTATGCGCGTTCCTTTCAGTGTTTCTTCCATTATCCATTTTATGGGCGCCAAATAACGGGAGACGCCCAAGCCCGGCACCGTTTCGTGGTTGGGTCATATGCACAAACGGACCTTTGCATCTACAATTTTGCCTAGGCACGGCGCTCACACCTCTTGGCAGGATGCTGACTGACTGCGCCGACGTCGCAGTTTTGTCACATAACTGTTACGTCAGCGGGCGATGGGGTCGTCACTTCCCTACGCCTTTACTATTATTATGGGGTATCTATATAGTTTTCTCATCTGGTTGGGTTCTATAAATATATAATTATAAATGAAAATGAAAAAATAAATATACATAAATATCAATAACATAAAATAAATATAAAAGTACATAAATAAATAAAAGCCCAACCAGATGGAGGCCCTCGGCAGGGGAGACCAAACGGCCGAGGGTTAGGGGGAAAGGGAAAGAAACCGGCGGACGATGCGGGCGGTATCGAGGAGCACCGCCTTCTGCATTTGAACCTGGAGCGGTCCGCCACGTAGTCCCAGCCGCCTCAGATGACCCGAGAGGCTGACTGGGATTAGCCCGTTTGCAGAGACGACTACAGGAATAATTTCGGTCGGCAGACCACCCCACATGTCGGTCACCTCGTGAGCCAGGTCCAGATATTTTGTTTGCTTGTCTGTTTCGGCTTTCACGAGGTTCTCGTCACATGGAATGGTAATGTCGACCAAAAATATCCTTGACTGTGCCCAGTCCATCAGCACAATATCAGGCTTATTCGCAAGAATAGTCCTGTCTGTGATGATGGCCCGGTCCCAATAGAGCCTGGCGCGATCATTTTCGAGCACGGCTTCCGGAAAGTACTTGTAGTACGGCAATTTCCGGTCCACGAGACCGTATTTCAGAGCGAGCTCCTGGTGTAGAATTCTGGCTACTAGGTTGTGCCTGTGCAAGTACTCAGAGTTAGAAAGCGCCGAACAACCGGAGATAACATGCCTAAGTGACTCACCGGGATGGCGACAAGCTCGACAGATGTCGACGGTGCCATCCTTTAGGATGTATCTCCGATAGTTGTTGGTCTTAATAACCTGATCCTGTATTGCACAGACAAAACCCTCGGTTTCCCCGAAGAGATCACCAAAGCGTAGCCAGTGGAGGGAGGCTACTGTGTCTACGAAAGGCTCATGTAGAGCCTTGTAGAACCTCCCGTGGAGCTCCTTCTCCTTCCATACGGTCTCTCGGTCGGAAATGCTCTGCACTGCCGGGTCTTGCCATTGCTCGTTGGCTAAGGATAGAGGGGTAAGTCCTTTATCACAAGAAATGACGTCCATATAGAATGGATCATCCGATCTCGCCAGGAAGTAATCACGGAGGCTGCACACTTCGCGATTATGGATGGTGAGCGCGCTCAAGAAGCCACGACCACCATGCTTCCGCGACAAGTACAACCTCATTACCGACGATCTCGGATGATGCATCCTATGGGACGTCATGGTAGTGCGGACTTCTCTATCCAGGGCGTTAAGTTCAGTCTGAGTCCACCTGAGTATGCCAAAGGTATACATGAGGACAGGCATGACCCAGCCGTTATATGCGTGTGCCTTATTCACACCGGACAAAAGGCTGTTAAGCACTTTGGTCAAGCGTGCATAAAACACGTCGCAAACTGACTGTTTCATACCAGTCTCATTGATACCGATGTTTTGTGACATACCCAGGTATCGGTATGTTTCAGCCTCGGAAAGGGTCCTTAAGTTGACGGGCATAGATAAGTCTACGCCCTCAGAGTTAGCAACCCTTCCCCTTTCAACATGGAGGACCGCACACTTATCCGTCCCAAGCTCCATTCCAATGGAATTGCTAAATTCACAAGTGATGTTTAGCAATTCCATAAGATGGGAGCGACTGGAGGCGAATAACTTGAGGTCATCCATATAGAAAAGGTGGGTCACTTTTGTCCCTCCTCTCCGTAGCTGAAATCCCCTCCCGGAGCCCTCCAGTAAGGTACTGAGAGGGTTCAGAGAGAGGCAGAACCAGATTGGACTCAGACAATCGCCCTGGAAGATACCCCTTCTTATCCTTATGTGGTTCTCCGCAGCCATTATCCGCTCGCCCAGATGACAAAGGATCGTACTCCACTGCCCCATACACAGCTCAAGGAAGTCTCTAACTGTACAGTCTATCTTGTACAGCTCGAGGACTCTCTTTAGCCATGTATGGGGCACCGAGTCGAATGCCTTTCTGTAGTCTATCCGGGCGGCGGAGAAGTTCCGACGGTTGCGTTTCACCACTTTGCCAATGACCGCGTCAATGAGGAGTGGTTCCTTGGTTCCACGACCACCGCCCCGACATCCATTTCGAGCGCGCGACATCACCTGATTTGAGTCCAGGTGACAAGTGATTCTCGCGCTCAAAATGGATGTTAGTGTCTTGTATATGGTCGGTAGACACGTGATGGGGCGGTATTTGCTCGGGTCTGTGGTACCCTGGTCTTTAGGAACCAAATGAGTGATCCCAGTAGTGAAGAGGCTTGGGGGCGACTTCTGGTTGAGAGCCTCTTGAAACTGTCGGACAAGCACAGAGTGACACACCATGAACCCCTTCAGCCAGTAGTGATGCAGTCCGTCGAGTCCCGGACTTTTCCAGTTCGGGGCCCTACGGACCGCCTCAGCTACGTCATCCGGCGTTATGATGACGGGGTCCACGGGCGTAATACCCGCACACTGACTCGCCACATTTCCGTCCAAGGGCCCTCGCTGTGGTTTACGGGCTCTGACCACAGGCCGCGCCAGAATGCTACAGTGTCGGCCTGATTCGGTGCTGGACCCGTTCCACTTACCATTGGTCGCTCCAATGATTCATATAGCCTCTTATGATCACTCTGGAAGAGACGATTCTGGTTGAACCGTGTCGACCTCTCGGTATATCGCCGAATCCGTTTTCCCCAAGCAGCGATTCTCTGCTTCAGATCATCCCTTATTCATCTATTATTATTATTATTGTGTGTGGGGTATCTATATAGTTTTCCCATCTGGTTGGGATGTATAAATATATAATTATAAACGAAAATGAAAAGATAAATATACAAAAATATCAATAAAATAAAATAAATATGAAAATACATAAATAAATAAAAGCCCAACCAGATGGAAGACCTCGGCAGGGGAGACCAAACGGCCGAGGGTTAGGGGGGAAAGGGAAAGAAACCGGCGGACGATGCGGGCGGTATCGAGGAGCACCGCCTTCTGCATTTGAGCCTGGAGCGGTCCGCCACGTAGTCCCAGCCGCCTCAGATGACCCGAGAGGCTGACTGGGATTAGCCCGTTTGCAGAGACGACTACAGGAATAATTTCGGTCGGCAGACCACCCCACATGTCGGTCACCTCGTGAGCCAGGTCCAGATATTTTGTTTGCTTATCTGTTTCGGCTTTCACGAGGTTCTCGTCACACGGAATGGTAATGTCGACCAAAAATATCCTTGACTGTGCCCGGTCCATCAGCACAATATCAGGCTTATTCGCAAGAATAGTTCTGTCTGTGATGATGGCCCGGTCCCAATACAGCCTGGCGCGATCATTTTCGAGCACGGCTTCCGGCAAGTACTTGTAATACGGCAACTTCCGATCCACGAAACCGTATTTCGGAGCGAGCTCCTGGTGTAGAATTCTGGCTACTAGGTTGTGCCTGTGCAAGTACTCAGAGTTAGAAAGCGCCGAACAACCGGAGATGACATGCCTAAGTGACTCACCGGGATGGCGACAAGCTCGACAGATGTCGATGGTGCCATCCTTTAGGATGTATCTCCGATAGTTGTTGGTCTTAATAACCTGATCCTGTATTGCACAGACAAAACCCTCGGTTTCCCCGAAGAGGTCACCAAAGCGTAGCCAGTGGAGGGAGGTTACTGTGTCTACGAAAGGCCCATGTAGAGATTTGTAGAACCTCCCGTGGAGCTCCTTCTCCTTCCATACGGTCTCCCGGTCGGAAATTGTCTGCACTGCCGGGTCTTGCCATTGCTCGTTGGCTAAGGATAGAGGGGTAAGTCCTTTATCACAAGAAATGACGTCCTTATAGAATGGATCATCCGATCTCGCCAGGAAGTAATTACGGAGGCTGCACACTTCGCGATTATGCATGGTGAGCGCGCTCAAGAAGCCACGCCCACCAAGCTTTCGCGGCAAGTACAGCCTCATTACCGACGATCTCGGATGATGCATCCTGTGGGACGTCATGGTAGTGCGGACTTTTCTATCCAGGGCGTTAGGTTCAGTCTGAGTCCACCTGAGTATGCCAAAGATATACATGAGGACAGGCATGACCCAGCCGTTATATGCTTGTGTCTTATTCACACCGGACAAAAGGCTGTTAAGCACTTTGGTCAAGCGTGCATAAAACACGTCGCAAACTGACTGTTTCATACCAGCCTCATCGATACCAATGTTCTGTGACATACCCAGGTATCGGTATGTTTCAGCCTCGGAAAGGGTCCTTAAGTTGACGGGCATAGATAAGTCTATGCCCTCAGAGTTAGCAACCCTACCCCTCTCAACATGGAGGACCGCACACTTATCCGTCCCCAGCTCCATTCCAATGAAATTGTTAAATTCACAAGTGATGTTTAGCAATTCCATAAGATGGGAGCGACTGGAGGCGAATAACTTGAGGTCATCCATCTAGAAAAGGTGGGTCACTTTTGTCCCTCCTTTCCGTAGCTGAAATCCCCTCCCGGAGCCCTCCAGTAAGGTACTGAGAGGGTTCAGAGAGAGGCAGAACCATATTGGATTCAGACAATCGCCCTGGAAGATACCCCTTCTTATCCTTATGTGGTTCTCCGCAGCCATCATCCGCTCGCCCAGATGACAAAGGATCGTACTCCACTGCCCCATACACTGCTCGAGGAAGTCTCTAACTGTACAGTCAATCTTGTACAGCTCGAGGACCCTCTTTAGCCATGTATGGGGCACCGAGTCAAATGCCTTTCTGTAATCTATCCAAGCGGCGGAGAAGTTCCGACGGTTGCGTTTCACTACTTTGCCAATGACCGCGTCAATGAGGAGTGGTTCCTTGGTTCCACGACCGCCGCCCCCGACATCCATTTTGAGCGCGCGACATCACCTGATTTGAGTCCAGGTGACGAGTGATTCTCGCGCTCAAAATGGATGTTAGTGTCTTGTATATGGTCGGTAGACATGTGATGGGGCGGTATTTGCTCGGGTCTGTGGTACCCTGGCCTTTAGGAACCAAATGGGTGATCCCAGTAGTGAAGAGGCTCGGGAGCGACTTCTGGTTGAGAACCTCTTGAAACTGTCGGGCGAGCACAGTGTGACACACCACGAACCCCTTCAGCCAGTAGTGATGCAGCCAGTCGAGTCCCGGACTTTTCCAGTTCGGGGCACTACGGACCGCCTCAGCTACGTCATCCGGCGTTATGGTGACGGGGTCCATGGGCGTAATACCCGCACACTGACTCGCCACAACTTCCGTCCAAGGGCCCTCGTTGTGGTTTACGGGCTCTGACCACAGGCTGCGCCAGAATGCGACCGTGTCGGCCTGATTCGGTACTGGGCCCGTTCCACTTACCATTGGTCGCTCCAATGATTTATAGAGCCTCTTCTGATCACTCTGGAAGAGACGATTCTGGTTGAACCGTGTCGACCTCTCGGTATATCGCCGAATTCGCTTTCCCCAAGCAGCGATTCTCTGCTTCAGGTCGTCTATGCGCTCCGTCAGTTTTTGCATTATATCCGGCTGGGACAAACTAACATTTGTCCCAGCAAACGCCATCCTGACGGTGCGCACAATCCTTGGCCTGGTATTGCCTGATCTGAAGCATATCAGTCTGCCGATGAGGGCCCTAGCCTTTGCGATACGTTCTTCAATTCTTGTTCTCCAGGCTGGGATAGCACTACTTTGTCCAGTAGTGCGTCCAGCCGTGGAAAGTTTGGCGCCTATAATACGGCAGACTGCCAGTGCGGCGCCAAAGAGAATTGAGTCCGTCTCGCAAAGGTCCCGGCTGGCTTCCAAATAGGTCACCAGCATTGGGTTCAGAGCCCTCACGACAGCCCGATTCCGCTTGCTTAGGGCTATGCGGGGAAGTCGCGGTCGATTTTCGAGAGGCGTACTGCGCATTTCTATAATCGCCTCTACCAATGTAATCCTCATTTGCTCTATTTCTAGTTCCTGGGTGAATGTTCCATCATCATTTGAATCAGCAACCACTGGGGTATTCATGGCGGCATCCACGTGTGCTGGTCGTTCTGCAACTTGTGGCACCGCACCCCCAGTCGTAGCGTTTTCATTTGATGAGGGATCAGCCTCATGTCGTAGCCGTTCGAGTTCGGCGCCATCAAATATATTTGAGCGTAAGATATACCGAACTCGGTCTGCCAGGTTTTGTTCGGTGACAGTAATAGATGGTTCCAGCTCAGTAAAAAGACGATGCATCCTAGCCCGATACGCGAAACCTCCATTTTCTCCCCCTTTCGCCCTAAAATACGCCCGCAATGCGTTTGAATTCATATTGATGGTCCATCGCATGCCGCGTACTCCACCAGTGGCGGGTGCCGATTGCTGGGTCTGCGAAGACCCTGCCGACACCAAGCAAGCTGGTGGGGATGATGGATGCGAGGGGCTGCTGGGTGGTCGTGCAGCACCTCGCGCTCGGCTGGCGGTTCGCATGCTGTCGCGTCCAGCGCCAGCTCCAGACGCGCCCTGACGACCTCCAGGCAGCGGCCCTTTGCGCAATCTTCTGTGTTCCATCATCCGTAGTGGGCGTCATTTAACGGGAGACGCCCAGACCCGGCGCCGTTTCATGGTGAGGCCATATGCACAAGCGGGCCCTTGCACCATCAATTTTTGCCGAGGCACGGCGCTCACACCTCTTGGCAAGGTGCTGACTGACTGCGCGGACGTAGCGGTTTTGTCACATAACCGTCACGTCAACGGGCGATGGGGTCGTCACTTCCCTACGCCATTTATTATTATTATTATTATTATTAACTAGATACGAGGCATTCCATCTTAGTCTTCTGGGGTGGCAACGCATCTGCGTTTTGATTCTTAGTTAAGGATAGATGTAGACGTCTATGGGCCACAGCATCTACTTATTATAAGGTAGGTTGCGTAATCTCTAGTCTTTCTTATTCTATTTTAAAACTTGCTCTTTTAAAAATATTTACATGAACATTTTATATATCATCGTCTGCTAATGATTTCTTATATTTACGCGAACACTACACATTGAAATAATACTAGTTTTTACGGAATTTATCGCGTATATTTAACTTTTTAAATACCCGACGTTTCGAACGCTTTACAGCACTCATGGTCACGGGCGGGACTGAGATGTTCAACGTCCATATGTCATAGTTAACCGCGGTTACCATAGATTAAAATTTAACTTTTGTTCCGATCTATGCAGTATGAACTTATGGTATCTTGAAGTCTTGCAGTTGTATGCTTGGGTTGGGATTTAATTTTATTTATTATATGATCCCAAGCAGATGGTAGCACCCAGCCATCTTCTCTATTGAAATTAGGATGTTTTTTGATTTCAATAGCCTCGCGAATCATCCTTGGAAGGAATCGGTGTTCTTTAGCGAGGATCTGCGGTCTATCAAATCTGATGTAGTGACGGGGGGCGATCCTGTACGTGTTCACAGACTGCAGACTTCCCGGACCGTCGATTCTTCACATCAGCTATATGTTCTTTGACGCGGGTTTTTATTGATCTTTTAGTTTTTCCTATGTAGGAGAGACCACATTCACAATCAAGCTTGTACGCTCCTGCATCTTGCAGAGGGACATTACACTTGACCGATGGTAAAAACTGACCAATCTTCTTCAGCGGCTTGAAGTATGTTTTGATGGAAGCGCGCTTCAAGATGTAGCCAATCTTGTCAGTGACTCCTCTAACATATGGCAGTACAGCAGGTACATGCTCGACTGTGGCCGGACAAACTAAAAGTAAACTAACTAACTAACTAAACCTAAACCTACTCCAAATACTCGTTACATATATTTTATTTATATTGATTCCATAGAATGACTAATTGGATATTTTGTTTGTTCACATGAAAAATAATCTCTACACTATGAAGTGACGGTATGATAATTTTAGAGAGAAACAAAGCAGTGGATGGGTACAACGTCTATCGAATAACAATTAGAAAATAAAAACTGGCCTGCCCGCCAATCGTGGCAACTATGGCTTATGTTCTGTGGCCAGTGGACTTTTATAGGCTACAACGCAAACGTAAAACCTGTCTCTTAATTTTAAGCACAATAAACTATACTTTTTAATTATCAACTATAGGACGTGAGGGCAATATAGACATCCGGTTAATATTGTCACTTTATTATAACTCGAAAACCACAGTCGTGTTTGCATAGATACCTCTGTGATACGATAGCTCTTCATCAGTATATCAAATAATAAAGGGTCAAAAATGAGCTGCTTTATCAACGCCATTTTGACAGTTGAGTTTATAGCAAATGTTTTATTCGATTGTAGTATTGTTTAGTATATATTTAATTTTTTTAAGTTGATTTTTCGAAGTGTTTCCAACTATTGCCAAAGCTTGTTTGATGCTTTTTTTTAATGTATTTGTTATAGTATAGGACTTTTTTTTTATAGAAGAAGGGGCAAACGAGCATGCGGCTCACCTGATGTTAAGTGACTACCGCCGCCCATGATCAACCGCAACACCAGGAGAATTGCGGGTGCGTTGCCGGCCCTTTAGAAAGGAGTAAGCTCTTTTCTTGAAGGTCCCCAGGTCGTATCGGTCCGGAAAAATCGCCGGTGGTAAACTATTCCACAGAGAGGTTGTACGTGGAAGAAAACTCCTTGTGAAACGTACAGTGGTGGACCGCCAAGCATCCAGATGGTGTGGATGGTATCGGGACGTTTGACGTGTAGTGCGTTCACGAAATTTGGCGGCTGGGATTAATCCGAACAATTCCTCAGCAACATCTCTTCGCAGCGCCAGTGAATCGAGCCGATCGGAAAGCACTCGGTCGTCGACGATTCGAGCCGCTCTGCGCTGGATGCGGTCAAGTGGAAGAAGTTGGTACTGGGGAGCCCCAGCCCAGAGATGGGAACAGTATTCCATGTGCGGCCGAACCTGCGCCTTGTAAAGTTGCAGGCGGTGTGCCGGCATGAAATACTGTCCCGCTCTGCTGAGCACGCCAAGCTTTTTAGAGGCCAATTTGGCCTTCCCTTCCAAGTGACCACGAAACTGCACGTCACTCGATATGTCGACGCCGAGGATTCCGATACTGGCTGAGGCAACAAGGGGAGTGCCTTGAAACTGAGGGGATACGACAAAGGGGTTCTTTTTATTGGTTAACGCGCAAACTTGTGTCTTCTGGGGGTTAAACTGGACTAGATTTAGTCGCCCCCAATCCGAGACTCTGTCCAGCAGAGACTCGACTTCAGACACAAGTTTGTCCCGGCACTCGGAGACGTTTTCCCGAGAAATATTGGCTCGGCCGGTGTAAAGAGCATCACCAGTGCTGTCATCTGCATAGCAATGAATGTTACGGGTATGCAACATGTCATTGATATGCAGAGGAAACTGCGTTGGCGATAGCACGCAGCCCTGTGTAACACCAGCATTAATAGGCTTGCAATCGGAGCTTGCACCGTCTACAACGACCTTGATGCTCCGATTTGCAAGACAGCTGGTGATCTAATCGCACAATTTCTCGGGAAGCCCATAGGAAGGGAGCTTCGAAAGAAGCGCTTTGTGCCAAACCCGATCGAAGGCCTTTGCAATGTCCAAACTAACGGCCAATGTCTCCCCCTTGAACTCTACTGCCTCCGCCCATCTGTGAGTTAGGTAGACCACAAGATCACCAGCTGACCGACCACGGCGAAAACCGTATTGGCGGTCACTAATCAGCTGGTGATCTTCAAGGTACCTCATGAGCTGGCAGTTTACAATGGACTCCATTGTTTTGGAGAACAAGGAGGTGATGGCGATTGGCCGGTAGTTGGACGGGTCAGAGCGGTCGCCTTTTTTAGGGATCGGGTGGACGTAAGCCGTCTTCCTTGATTTTGGGACTACACCTAGGGAGTAGGAGAACCGGAAAAGACGCGTTAAAACCGGTGCCAACTCTGGAGCACACGTCCTCAGCACAATTGGGAAGATTCCGTCAGGCCCACTCGACTTGTGGATTTCCAGGGAGAGGAGTGCTTTGCGAACCGAGCGCTGTGTGAAGTGCACTTCCGGCATGCAACACTCACACCGCGGGATGGTCGGCGGAGTACTCCCCCCGTCATCGAGAGTCGAGTTAGACGCAAAGAAAGAGCCTAGAAGATCGGCTTTCTCCTTTGCGGTATGGGCCAGTGAATCGTCCTCCCTGCGCAGATATGGAAGAGATGGCTGACAGAAATTTCCCTGGACAGCCTTGGCGAGAGACCAGAATGCACGGGTTCCAGAAGGAAGGCGAACTAGTTTCTCGCCAATTCTGCCTATGTGCTCTGACTTTGCCTTGGCAATGACTCTTTTGAAGGACCTAGAGGCGGAATTATACTTCTTTTTTAGAGCGCTGGTGTTTACATCCCGGGACGCTGATGCATCAGCCCAGGCTTGGTAGCAATCCTGCTTATAGCATGATGCTATTTTACAGGAGCGACCAAACCATAGCTGAGACTTGCCTCCAATGGGCACCACAGAGGAAGGAATAAAAAGTTCCATACCCTGAAGTACCACATCAGCAACAGAATCCGCAACAACGTTGGGATCATCCGGCGAGAAGCAAACCCGCCCCCAAGGGTAGGATGCAAAGAAAGACCGCATCCCATCCCAATCGGCTGACCTATAGTGCCAAACACGGCGGCAGCCTGCAGAATGCAACCGCGATTTCAGCGTGAGTGGCACTATACTCCGGACCAGACAATGGTCCGAGGAGCCTAAAGGGGCGTCGACGGAAATCTGATATCCGTCCGGGTGAGAGGTCAGCAGAAGGTCCAACAGGGAAGGTGCATAATCCTCCACATCTGGAATCCGCGTAGGCCAAGTAACCAGTTGTGTCAGACCATATGCCAAGGCAAAATCATGAACAGATCTCCCCGCATGATCGGTTAAACGTGAACCAAGCCATTCGGCGTGATGGGCGTTAAAGTCGCCGAGGATCACGATCTCTGCGGAGGGGATCTGCTGTAGCAACGAATCTGCAGCCATTTGGACGTGGTCCAATAGTCGGTCTGTTTCGGCATTACCGCTATGGGACCTATAGAGGCACCCGTAGATGCGCGGATGGTCGTCGCTGTCTACGCGTAGCCAAAGGATGGACAGGTCCGAACCTTCAAGTCTGCCGAGGCGTCGAGAGCAGATGTTCTCTCTGACGTAAACGCAAACTCCAGCCCGAGGCACAAAGGAGTGTTCCAGTTTGTACCCCGGGTAGGAGAGATACGAGACATCAGCTGGAGAGGACACCTGCGTCTCGGTCAGAAAGAGCAGAGCCGGCCTCGCCGTCTCGAGATGGTAGTGGACGGCGGACTTTAAATTTTTGTCTCTGTTTTACTCCTAGTTTTGGTTTTATGGGCGGCAAAGCTTAAGATGATTATATTACCCTCGCGTACCTTTCGAAAAGTTATTATTATCTTTAGAAAAGTTAAAGTTTAATATGATATGCACTAGAAACAAAATATTTTTTTCTATAACGTTCACCGCTCCATTCTCATCGATTTATGTAATAGGAATGGCAGGATTTTCTGCGTTGAAATGATTTTTGACTATGTTTTTAATGAATGTCATTTTATTTATCTTTTATTACTAATATCAGTGATTTTTATTTTCAATTAAGTATATATCATTGACTTTTACTTAATCAATATGACTTCCCCACAATGATATGAGTGTGTATTAGATAATAAGAACTATGACTATCTTTTTTTATTGAATAAGGGTGACATACGAGCGCACAGTCCACCTGATGGTAAGTGTATGCTGTCGCTTATAGACATCTACATTTATCCTCGATTAAAAATCAAAACGCAGATGCGTTGTCACCCTTGAGGACTAAAATGGAATGCCTCATTTCCAGTAAAAAAGGGTCTCCGGATCTCTACACTCACCATATCAAACACAGCGGTACTAAGCTGCTATTTCACGCTGGTATCCTGTGAGAGCGTGGTCCTACCCCGGCCGAGCCGAACCATTCGTGCTATAACCATTATATAGCTGCAGCGTGGCTCTACCACGTATAATCGTGTAACTTCAACGAAAAAAAAAACATGCAAATTTTGATAAGAAGAACATATACAAAATATAGTATAATATAAAAAATACTTTTTTTGTGTTGGAGTTGATCTGTGTCACTTTTTGTTATATGTTACCTGTTTCTGTCGACCATCAGCAGCGCTTTCACTGGTGTGTGTCGATCCGAAGGTTATAGAAAGCTAGTATAACTATGAGACTTTCCATCTTAACCCATAGAGGTTATAACGCTTCTATAACCTACTTCGGTTGAAGTTAATTTCGGGTGGCGACCACGGACTGCAGTTACCAGCCTATTACATAGTATAAGCACTAGCACTAGCTTTTGTTTTTTTTTTATAATTGCCAGATCTAAATGCTTGGCTTCGTTTAGTGAATCCAGAGACCCGGAAACCGTTTTTACTAGTATAGGGGCTATCCATCTTAGCCTTCAGGGTGACGAATCTCGTCGGTTGTAAGCTCGCTCATCATATTTACTGATATTAAAAAATAAAATTAGACTGAGCTTTAGGATGCTAAATTATTGTATAGAATAAAAAACTCTTTAAAACTCAACTTTTTAATAAACGTAAAGATTTGTAACATAGTAAAAATTTCCGAAATATTATAGTCACTTCTCTTTAAGATTACACCGATAACGATAATTTATTCCGTTTTAAAACCACCTTATAAGATATATTTTTTTAAATATTTTTATTTTTACAATATTAGTACCTACATTAGCCTTGTTGGAAAACCCACTAGGTACCCCATATCATTACGTGCGTGGCGACGAGGGTAATGGAACATGAGGTAGTAAGCAGCAGCTTCCCAATTATAACTCAAAATAATCAGAAATTGCTGTTGCAAACCCGCTTGCCAGACGTGGCAACTACGGCAAATATCCAAGTGGTAGAGCCGTGCTGCAGACATATTATGGCTGTGGCTCGACCGAGGAGGGACCACGCTCTCACAGCATACCAACGTGAAATAGCACCTTAGTATTAAGCTACTGATAGAAGGATTAAAACACGCGAAATTGTTCGTATGTAACATCCTACGTCTTTGACAATTTTTTTATCTTTTTAATTTATAAATATATAAATTTGATAAAAAAATGTTTTACCAGAAAAACTGGCAGTAATTACAAAAAATGAACTCTAAATCATATATACATAAGTAATAAATAAAGAAATTAAGTGTTAAACAACTGGCCGTGGTAGGGGAAGGGGAGATCTCCCGCCGGGCAAGGTGTTCTGCCCGGGGAGCGGCCAACACTCCGTGTGATAGTTCGGAGATGTTCTATTATACTGTTTATGATTCGGAATGTTGATAGCGTGAGGCTTCGGTATGTTTAGGCTTCGGTATCGCGACGACAGCGCCGCCACATCACCCCCTTGCTCAGACCGGAGGTCGATAGTGCAGTCCGATTGCCAGTGCGTCCTTAATGCCGGTGGGGAATGCATGCTGTGTGCGTAAGGGCAAGTGACACCGGTGCGAATGATATGCCGATGTGTAATGCAAGCCGTACTACGCACTGGTAAGTGATGCCGGTGAGAACGATGTGCCAGAGCAAGTGCCAGAAGTCTGCCTTATAAATCTACGGTGAGTCGATATGAAGACAAGTTGGGCTGGCTTGCAGGAACTGAAGACTGCAGAAGACGATTCTCAGTAGTGAATGGTGGGAGTTCGTGAGGATAATAACGAAGGCTTGAAGTTGTAGTTTCCGAAGATTGTTGGTTGCGTGTTCAGATCACGTTTGTTAGTCACCACTGTGGTAGGGAAAGGGGAGATCTCCCGCCTGGCAAGGTGTTCTGCCCGGGGAGCGGCCAACACTCCGTGTGAGAGTTCGGAGATGTTCTATATATACTGTTTATGATTCGGAATGTTGATAGCGTGATTTAGGCTTCGGTATGTTTCGCTTGCGGCGCTACGACAGCGCCGCCACAAACCCATTCATTGTTGTAATTTTAATTGCACACAATACGATACAATGTCTTGGTTTCCGTTTTTTTTAATTATTAATTATTATTTTAGCTTTACATAATGCCCACAAATACGAATATTTTTTTATAGAATAAGGGTTACAAATGAGTTCACCTGATGGTAAGAGAATGCTGTGGCCTATAGACATTTGGGGTCAGTTAAAAATCAAAACGCAGATATCCGTTGTCACCCGTGAGGACTAAGATGGAATACCTATTTTCCAGTAAAAGGGTTTCCGGTTCTCTACACTGATATACAAAACACAGCAATATTAAGCTGCTATTTTACCCTTGTATTTTGTGAGAGCGTGGCTCTTCCCTAGTCGGGCTGTCCCATTCGTGCTATTATTTCACTAGTATTTTTTGCTATTTAGTTCACTTTCTATTGTACATTAAAATGCAGATATCCTATATACAAATATAAAATAAACGTTTTCTTGCCTAGACCAATTATTGAAAAAGGTACTTTTGGAATCACACAAATGTGGTGAAAAACTCTACTCTGTGTGACTGACCACAGACTATTATATAATGGATTTGGACGTTATTAACATATTTTTTTAACTGCGTTGTAAGACAAACATATTGTATGCACATTTTAGCTTTCTGCACTTACATCCATATAAACTATGCTAAATCTCACACTCCTCAAGCGCGCATTATGCTTACTCGTATAAAAAAAGATATTAGATGTTATCATATTAATAAATAAAAATAAAAAACAAACTCCTTCTTTATACTCCAAATTACATTACACATCACATACAATAAATATTGATTACAGTAAATACATATTTGCCTTATCGAATTTATTACTAAATATCACTAAATTAAGTACTAGCTCTCTTTATACCCGTCTCTTTTTGTCATATATTGAAGAGTAAGAGAGGATATATGAATTTATTTATTTATAAAGATTGTAAAATGACATTTTAGTTTGTTTATATAGATGAAATTTAGTAATTGATTTTATTATAAAAACTTTTGAATATTTGCATGCTGTTGAAAACAGCTAAATAGGTTTTCTTAACACATAACAGTATAACATCAATAAGAAAACATTTTGTACCTATTTAGTTGCAAATAAAGAATTTGAATTTGAATTTGATCTTTAAGGATTTCTTAAGTTGGTGTCGATTTTTATGGGTGAGGCTGATTAATATTATGATATGGAAGGCCAGTAAATTATTTGCGAGGGATACGACGTTTTTTTATTCCAAAATTTGTATGTTCTTTTTTATTATGGGCACTAATCCTATTTTACGTGACTTTATTGATTGTGGTTTTATTTCATATCATTAAACATTTTTCCTGACCAATATGACCTAGGAACCTACATACAATGGCTTTACTCTAAGGCAGGTAATACGTCTGCAATTCCTCTGGTATTGCTGATTTCTGTGTCTCAATTGGTGGTCATTAATCACAAATTAAGACGCAAGTGCTTAACACTTTCTTTAAAAAAAAGGCTTCTGGAGTAGAAGATTCTCTACGACTAATTATCTATTCATTTTCGCCTCTACTAGTATTTTCTATCTGAAATGCTTTTGGTATTCCTGTCCTATAGCGATACTTACCTAACTCTTGAGTAATTAAAAATCACTACAAACAAGACCACGCTACAATCAAGCGAACCAGAAATCTATAAATCTATAAATTTCAATGACAAGACTAACGGTCCTTAGGTCATCTGGTTACGGTTCTGCGTTTAATCACTAGGTACATTCTACTCAGATCGATTAGTTTCCTTGCTTAAATTTAGATTCAGGCGTGCCAAGAGCCTCGGCTTCTGCCAGAGTGTCAGGCATCTTAGTGCCGAGAGTTTCCGGCTGTGTGAGCACCAGTAGTCCAGACAGCACGGCCATTCCACCGAACATCACAGATGGAATGCCTCTCCAGTACACCATCTGCAGAGAACAGCACACATTTTTAATAGAATAAGGGTGACAAACGAACCTGCATTCCACCTGATCAGACATCTACGTCAATCCTCGATGAAGAATCAAAATACCGATGCGTTGTCACCCCTGAGGACTAAGATGGTATTCCTTGTTTACATTAAAAAGAACTCCAGTTCTCTATATACTCAACATATGAAACACAGCAGCAATAAGCTGCTATTTTACGCTGATATTCTTGTGAAAGCGTGGTCGTTCCCCACCGAGCCGACTCATTAGTGCTACAACCATAATATAGCTGTAACATGGCTCCACCACGTCTATTTTTTTATATTTGCGATATAAATGAGATTACTGTCAGGTTGATAGGATTACATGCTGTGAGATATTTCATCTAGAGGTGACGACGCATCTATAGCCTTCCTTGTTTAAAGTTGGCATCAAGTGTCCATTAACTATAGTATCCACTAACCAACAAGTAAACTGTAAGTTGACAGGAGTTTGTGACACTAGTTTTTTATTTCAGTTGTATAAAAAATATATCTGCCGTAGCCTACGGACATCTGCAGTCAAATTCAAGCAAATAAGTACATAGAATCAGTTTCACCCCTGGGGACTATGGAGGGTGCTTTTACCCAATCTCACTTGGTGGTAAGTGGTGATGAAGCCCTACATATCTCGCAGGCTGATATTTTGTTGGTTTTCTTCTCCTGTAATTGATTCTTTTTATGTAACCAATACTACGATTTTTACCAAGTGATTAGTGGCAGGTGACAACCTCATTTGACTTCTTAATGGTCGACATTAGTATCTAATAGATAAACTTTAATTTCTCATATCAGTAATTAAGAAAATATACTTTATGACAAACAAAGGTATCACTTACCAAAGCCGGTGTAAGCGGGGCACAGATGGAACCGATCCTGCCAATCATGGAGGAGAAGGCCAGCAGGCTGTGGCGGTACTCAGTGGGATACAGCTCTGACGTGAACAGGTACAATGACATCATCACCATCGAGATTCCGAATTTGCCCAGCAGATAGATTACTAACCGTAATACCGTCATATCTGAAATATTGTAGGTGTGAAAAAAAGAAGAACAGGCGTTTTTATATTATATTAACGATGTTAAAAATTTATTATCTAAGACCCGCGAGATAAAAAAATGTGTCTACTAGTTTCGTCCCCGTCACTCCTAATCCCAACAACACTACCCAGGGAAAGACACTCCACTGTCAAAAATATGATACGTGTTTTGCTTCTAAACGGGGCATCATCGCATTAAATAGACTCTGCGATGGCTGACCGATGTTAAGAGTAATGTTTTTGGGAGTGGTGACGGGGACAGTGCACGCCATTGTGGGAGGGTGGTATATGTATTATTATTATTATTTTCAATTTATTTCTATGTGTAGGTATATATTATGATTGGTGGTCGCCTATGGTCACCGTAATTCAATGAATATGTAGGTTTGTATTGATATCTTAAGGTATTTACTATAGAATATAGAAACAAGCTGTATTTCACTTTTTCATTACTCGTTTATATATAAAACATGGATATCTAATATACAAAATATAAAATAAACTTTTTTTTTTCTAGACGCTCGCACAGTAATTCTTGTTGGCAATATTTTAAAATTTTTGACGACAAACTTAGGTACTCTGTGTGACTTTTTGACCAAAGACTATTATGCGTTTGACATAGTAATTGTATAGTATAAATATTTTATTTTATTTTATTTAATGTATCTTTAACATATTATAATAAATACATTTTTGTTATTTTCACTCTATCTCAATATAAACATTAATTGTGCCATATCTTACACTCCTTCATGCACTCAATAAGCATACAAAGTTTGTACCCCTTTGCAGGCTTATTGAGCGCACGGAGGAGTGTAATATTTGTAGCTTTTGCTTCACGTATTAAAACAAGATTAATACCAAAATATTTTGTTAAGTAGTTCTCGAGATATCTTGTACACAAAAATGTATAAAACACCGACTAAAGAACATCCGCAATTAAATTTTTATCGGACTTTGTGTTATTATAATACGTGTTGATGAATTTAAAAAAAATTTAGGCTTCTTCATTAGTGTTTCCTCTTTCTAATCATATTCTTTCCATAACATGTTAATAAGCTTTAAAATAATAAATACGACTTAAGGGCCTATACTACTTTAGCTCAAATTCTAATTTTGCCCCCACTTCCCCGCGCATCGTGTGCTATGTACCGACAAGTTTGTAATCACTAATACTGTAAGTAGATAGGTCGTTAGATACCTATTTCATTAGGTTTATTATATTCACGCTGTTTCTTAACGCCAACCCAGTCGCTTCTTATTTATAATACGGTTATTCCCATTTTAATTTCCTGTTGCGTAACGTGTGTTCTGATCGTAAATGATACAGCTTTCCCATTAGAATGCCGTAGCGAGACTGATCGGGCGGGGAACAAGCTTCAAGAAGCCGTTAGTTTAGGTAATTTCTTTTTACAGTGAAGATAATGGTGACTTAAAAAAAATTAAAAAAACATAAGCCCTGCTTTATAGTTAGTTCAGTTAGTATGCAAAGTTTCATGATCTAATTTAAAGTATTTTACGAATACCAGCGGTTTATTGTTTTGTTTGGAGGTAACTTAGGATTTGTTTGACGTGTTTTCTTCTAACATAGTACTTAATCTTAATACCAACCTTACCATATATTTATTTCTAAATGTAGTGTAGGCCCTTAACGTGAGTGCAACGAGTGATTTAAAAATTCGACAATAGAGCTCAACCTCTCCGCTTCGGGTTCGAGGTGTGCAATACTAAGTATTTCAAAAATTAACACTGACCTACAATTTTTTATTTTTTTTTATTTTAAGTATTAGTTGCTGAACAAGTGGTTGGTATTAAAAACGATTTTTGAGAGCACTTCGTAAATAAACCGGTTCATAATTGTGAACGAGACTTATCTGAATAATGATAATCTGCATATGTTACTATGGCGTTCGTCAAAAACAAAAACATTGTCATAATTGTATCATATTGATCTTAGAGTAATTAAATAATATGTATACTTTACGAAGACATTCACTGTTGAAATGTTTTCATTGATCAATGTCAATTTGATATTGATTAGTTTTCTGATAACTAAAGGCATATCGATAAAGTTTTACGTACCCTTGATTATTAAATAAAAACATGTCATTATCGTTGATAATTTTATTATACTTAATAAATGCAGGTGAAGATAAATAGTAACTTTTACTGTGGATAAATAATCTTTCTGATTTTATCGTTTTCAATTTGACTTTTTTCCTTTTTTTATTTATGTATATTACCCATGATCACGAGTTGAGGTTTCTGACTTCCTGATGTCAAAGAGAAGTTACATTCAACCTTTGAATATTAATTTTAAGTTTAATCTACTTTCTAAGAAAATTTTACAATGAAAATATTTGTAAGATAGAAAATATTAAACTAGTCTACCACACTTCGAAAACTGTTAAATATTACAAATATTGAGATCAATTTTACGCTTTATGCCAAATGGATTTTAATGTTCACGTTAATTTAAGCCCCTCGTTAAAATGTATAGTTTAATGACATCAAAATTCTTTCATTTGAATAACGTTTTATAAATGATTTCTAATATTTACGCGAACACTACATATTTAAATAAAACTAGTTTTTACGGATTTTCTCGTGTATATTAACTTTTTTATATTCCCGACATTTCGAGCACTTTACAGCACCCATGGTCACGGGGGGATCACGGGGAAGTCGTAGTTAACCACGGCTACGTACAGATTAAAGTTATTAATTTTTGTTCCGATCTATGCACTTACAGTATCTTAAAGCCTTGCAGTTATATGCTTAGGCTGGGATTTAATTTTATTAATTGTAGGATCTCCTGCAGATGGTAGCACCTAGCCGCCTTCTCTATTGAAATTAGGATGCTCTTTAACTTCAATAGCCTCGCGAATCATCCCGGAAAGAATCGGTGTTCTTTAGCGAGAATTTGTGATCTATCAAATTTGAAGTAGTGACGGGGGAAATCCTGTACGTGCTCACAGACTTCAGACTTTTTGGAGCGGCGATTCTTCACATCAGCTATATGTTCTTTAAAGCGGGTTTTAATTGATCTTTTAGTTTATTCTATGTAAGAGAGACCATATTTAAAATCAAGCTTGTACACTCCTGCATCTTGCAGAGGGACATTACACTTGAGTGATGATAAAAACGGACTAATCTTCTCAACCGTGACTTTGACTGTGGCTGGCTTCACTTGTTTAATGTGACGTAGGCGTGGGACTCGAAGCTTGTTTTCATGCAAAACTTGCTTGACGTGGTGGAGCTCGGTGGCCACCATGTTACCATGCCACCATGTGTGCCACAAATCCATGCTAAAGAACACCGATTTCTTCCAAGGATGATTAGCAAAGCTATTGAAATCAAAAAATATCCAAATTTCAATAGAGAAGATGGCTGGGTGCTACCAGCTGCTTGGGATCATAAAATTAATAAAATTTAATCCCAACCCAAGCATACAACTGCAAAACATCAAGATACCATAAGTTCGTACTGTGTGGATCGGAACAAAAATCAATTATTTTAATATGTGGGTAACCACAGTTAGCTATGACTTCCCCGTGATCCCCCGTGACCATGGATGCTGTAAAGTGCTCGAAACATCGAAAACAAAAAATATATACTTGATAAATCCTTAAAAACTAGATTCATTTAAATGTTTTATAAATTTTAATTACTGATGTAAGATCCGGATGCTAATGAATACAAATTTCCGTAAAGTAAGGCATGATACTAATTCTAAGTGTAAACCATAAATTTACATATAATTTTACTATCAGAATACGTGATACGTGGTGTAGAATCACGCTGCAATGATATTATGGCTGTAGCATGAATGGGTCGGCTCTACCGGGGGCCACGCTCTCACTGAATACCAGTGTAAAATAGCAGTTTAGTGTTGCTGTGTTTCGTATGGGAAGTGTAGAGAATCGGAGACCCTTTTTACTAGAAACTAGGCATGCCGTCTTAGTCCTAAAGGGTGACAACGTATATGCATTTTGATTTTTAATCAAGAACAGATTATGTAGACATCTATGGGCCACAGCATCCACTTACCATCAGTGGACTGTGTGCTCGTTTGTCACCCCAATTCTATTATAAAAAAAGCTAAGTGTCTCTCTCTTATAGGTAGATTATTCTCTCTGAATTCATACAGTAGTCTATTCACTATACATACTGTTCTCTTTAATGTTACTGTACTGTACTCTTTTAAAATTAGAACGACTAACAATCGTAATGCATTAAAGAAGGAAGTTCGCGAACACTGTTTGAATAAACTGGCAGAATCATCTCATTCATATTTATATAAATATATAATTGATGTAACTTATTTAATTTTATATGTTCATAATAATATTAAATTTATTAAATAATTCTTGATATGCATGTTTATGTATTATTTTTTTTAATGTATATTTTCTGTAATTCATAATTCTATTTTTAACAACGTCATGTTTTTACCTCTGCATTACTCAGATTGAATAGCAGAAAAATCCGAATTAAGTCCGCTGATACAACAATAATTATATTTTATGAAGTGAAATAAATTTAAAAAAATATTTACTTACCAACAGAAATGAAGGCAAATGCGATATTACAGCACGCACTCAAAAAGAATGCGCCGGACAACGTGACCTTTCTACCGATCATGTCTAAAATAAGGACGGCGGTAATATAGCCAGGGATTTCAACAATGCAGGTTAGGATGAAATTAAGGTATATAGTGTCTGACAAGCTGGTTGAGTTGATCGAAAGGCCGTAGTAGACGAATGTAGTGGTGATCCACCAGATGGGAGTTGTACACACGCGGCGCAGTAATACGGGAGACTTGATGATTGTTCCAACTATATTCTTATCAGTCTGTAAACACATCACAGAGCTAAATATGCTATTTCTGTGGATGCAAGAATTTTAATAGAAATATAGAAATTAAATATATTTTTTTTAAATCGAATAAGGGTGACAAACGAGCACATAATCCACCTGATTGTAACTGGATGCTGGGAACCACAGATATCTACATTTATCCTCGGTAATAAATTAAAATTGCTGTTGCATTATCATCCCTGAGGACTAAGATGGAATGCCTCGTTTCCAGTAAAAACGGTTTCCGGTTCTCTACATTCACCATACCAAACACAGCACAATTGAGTTGCTATCTTATGCTGGTATTCTGTGAAAGCGTGGTGCTTCCCCAGTCAAACCGACCCATTTGTGTTACAACCGTAATATAGCTGCAGCATGGCTGTACCATGTAGTCACAGATGGTGAATTAGAGGTATATATATTTCTACCCCACGACCATAATGTCTAGTTTTCGCGACTTGTAATACTGCATTCCATAAAAATATTTATTTATAAGTTAAAAATGGCTCTTTAATGTAGAAATGAACATCATCAGATCATCCATCATCATAACAACCTACTAAATTTCACAACATAGGCATTCACAACATATTTGCCACGCTTGCCACGCTTGCCACGCTGGCCACGCTTGCCAGGTTTGCAAGCGCAGCTTTTAGTTTCAGTTGTTATTAGGAAGACGCTGCTGCAATATTCTAATTTGTTTCCCTCACCTCCTGCTTGACCCACGGGATGATGAGGGGTAGTAGATATTTCGAAACCGCTTTAACACGGTCGGCCACTAAACTAACAAGTCATAAAATCAATCTTAATTCATAAACAATCAAAACAGAGATGTGGTGGCATACGTTACTAAATTCTTGTTTTTAAATATATAATAATAATAAGTTCGTACCGAGGCAGATTCTGGTGCCATCGGAGGATTCATCAAGGCTTCCATGGACTTGTCACTGATATAAGTATTGTTAACCCTGGCCACTTTTTCAAGAACAGCTCGAGCCTCCGTGTATTTCTGTTTGGCGAGAAGCCAGCGCACACTTTCGGTCAGAATCCAAAAGTAGATGATTACTAAGAAACAAGGGATATGAAGGGCCATAATCATGTACCGCCATGGCTGCACAAGCCACGCCACACCACCGAGGACGACTTGGCCCACAGCGAACATGGACGAAGCGGTCGCACTTGCAATCACACGATACTTGGGGCCCACCAATTCTGCCGCTGAAATCATTTACTTATTGAGATATTCTGATATATTGGTTAGTTCCGTTTTAAAAAGTGAAACTTATTCATTCATTTATTACAAGTCAACTGCTAAACATAGGCATTCCTCAAGGCACAACACAAGGCAATAAGTCCTGTGCCACTTTCTACATTGCTCTCATTAGCAACGCAAAGGTGAGGTTGGTAAAAAATAGGTAGCTTGTATAAAACTCCATAAAGCTCCATTTGTAAACAATGACAATGTTATATATGTATATATGTACTTACTACTACTAATATATATAATATATGTACTTACCGAAAATATAAGATGAACTGAAAGTTCCGGCACCAAACGTAGTCTGTAGCAATTGTAGAACTAAGTACATGGTGTAGTTGACGGAGAAAGCCCGAATGAGGCCAAACAGAGCCAAATTGAAAACACTGATAACCAGGGCTACACGTCGACCGAAGCGGTCAGAGATGTAGCCCGTGATGGGAAGAACAAGTAAAGTACCCACACTGCTGAGAGTACCAGCAAGGGCTCGCAGCCATTCTTGGCAACCGAGATCAAACTGAAAGATAAAATTAAAAATGTCTAAATACGTTTTTAAAATAAACGAAATAATACGTTATATATGTGGCAGCCTAATTGTATGATTCGCCGTATTACATTATGGCTAGCCGTTTTACATAACAGAGCCTGAATGAAATTCCGCCGTCTTTTAGAGGTTCCAATGCACATTAAAATAAAATGTGGCCATGAATTCTGGTGTTCAACGGAATCCTAAACAATATTATTGGTCCAAAAAATATGACATTATGAGTGTTACTAACTAAATGATATTCAGCCGCTGCGTTTAATATAACATTGCAACTTTCTTGTAATATCAGCGACAGTAGGTTATGGTGCGGCTGCCAAAGCCGCGTATATTTATATTATATAGCGGATGGTGCGTAATTAGGCATGAAATGTTTTATTAGATGCATCAGCTGAAACGCATGGGCTGTCGTCTCAATGATATTCAGTTAGTTGTTTAGGTTACTTTTTTCATATTAAATTATTTTGCACTAAAAGTAGTTTTTATTTTTGATTGGTATGGTCACCCTACAATGCAAATAGAACATACAATATGACTGAACGTCGGCCGCCGTATTGCAAGGCTTGTCGTTCGCCAGCCGTAAATACGGGAGGCTTATTGTATATAAGCCTGCGACATATCATGCTAATGAGGCATATTATTTTTTTTTAAATTACAGAAAGAAAGTACTTTTTGGATAAGGTTGCATTTAAATAAACGTTACAATCACGTAATTCAACTGATGACACCTGCATTCATTCTCGGTTCAGAATTATAGTTGTGTTTTCACATCTGAGGACTAAGAAGGATGGACACGAAGTTTTGGTTACTATAATAAGGGCACTGGTTCTCGTCTCTTACTGTTGTACACCAGAATCACGCTGGTATTTTACGTTAACATTCTGTGCAAGCATAGTCCTTCCCCGATTGAGCCGACTCATTGAGGACCACTGCTGCATCCAATATGCTGTGTGGAATTACCAAGAGTAATTAGAAAAAAGTTTCTCTCTTACATCACAGGTTTACCAACGTCGCCATCATATTTATACATAAGGATACATAATGATTTCTTACATTTAAGCGAATACTACATTGATTAAAACTACTTTTACGGATTTTATCACGTTTAATTTTTAATTTTAATTGGTTTTTAATTCCCGACGTTGCGGGTGACCATGGGTGCTGGAGAGCCCCCGAAACGTCGGTAATTAAAAAACAATTAAAATTAAATGCGATAAAATCCGTAAAAGTAGTTTTAATCCATATGGATACAACTGATGTGTCAGTTTGTATTATTGAAATATTTGGCTTCCATTAAGCTCAGGGAGTTATTCGAATGCTATTGAAACATGAATAACCATTTTTTTTTTAATTTGTCTGTTAGGGCTAATCGAAAATAAAAATGACCCCTTTCATTATACTTACGTCGTACACAACAGAATTATCTCTTCCGTAGACGTATCCGTCACAGGCAACAGTGTTTTGTTGATCAAAGATGTTCGCTGGACAGTAATCGAGGGAGGCGTTGGTTCCCATGGGCTTGTATCTCTCGCAGCTGGCAAATCCATTATCAGTTACAGGAACAGCGTTTAGAATCCACTCGGGGTTATATTCGAAATCCTTGCCATTTTCACCACATTCTGGTATTTGACACCTGCGATGTTCAATTTAATAATAATTAACTATCCGAAGATAAGGACTTGTTTTTTGATTTTTTATACATTTTTAATTCTACTTATCCACTATAATGTTAGTGTCAAGTAAGTCTGAAAATATAATACATATAATTATAATTGTTGTTTGTGTGATTTATATAGACCACCCTTTTTATTAGATAAGAGGTATTCTATTTTAGTCCTAAAAAGTACGCATCTGCATTTTAAATTGTAATGGAGCATAAATGTAAATATCTATGTAATATATTCACTGTACCCACTTGCCATCAGGTGGACTGTGTGCTTGTTTGTCACCCTTAATCTATAAAAAAACACACATAAACAATAGATCACCTAAAATTTATTTTTCTTCTTTATTATTTCGAAAAGTTCACTGCGTGACTTGAGCCACTAGTTTTATAGGAAGCACTTGCCTTGATCATCTCGCTTAGCAAGCAGGTTGACTGAGGTGATACTGATGAAGGACTTAAAATATAATTAATATGACTTAGAATATACATACTAAAAATAATATAATAACAATCTTTATGTATGCCTTGCGGTGGTGGTGGATGAGAGAGATCTTATTTTATCCCGTGCGTGTCGCAAGATGAGACTAAGAGCAATGCCAGCAAAATCTTACCTACCAATGAGTATATCATCACGTGTATGAGGGAGGAAAAATGGCGGCTCATGTGTTCCTGGTGTGTCCAAAAGTCATCGCATACAGGGCTACGCATCTCAGCACGCCGAGGTCGTTGACAACATCAAAGGACTACTAAACTTCTTCAAAGAGATTTCGTGGCTCGAGTAATCAAAGTAAACCTACCCACATGCAAAATACGCTATTGGACGTGGGGTTGTGAGAAATATTCGGTCTTAAACTAAACTAAGCCAGATGTAATATATCCAGACCGAGAGTACAACGGTCGTCAATCCGTCTTCCTATCGATTAAGGCAAATTCTCCCTACAAGAGAAGCGACTCATGTCCAGCGGTGGATTTAAGCTGGCTAGTGAAGAACAAGACCTTTGAAGAACGCTCTGGTCATGATGTCCTCCAGACCTAATTTTAGTGATGGCATCGAGTCTCAACAGCGATTAGCCACCTGCGCAGGACACGGTTACAGTACCCGAGTGTGTGCGCAAGCCCAAGTGCACTTTCTATTCCTTCCATCTTATAATCTGATGAGACAGTTATCCGACATGACCGGAGAGAGATCAGGCTTCACGTGTTTTCTGAGGCACAGGGGTGAGATACCGCCAACTTTCCGACTCTGGGCTGCTACTGAGAATTTCTTGACGGAGAAACCCAAGTACTGATCGTGGCCCGACCCGAGACCTCATGGTCAGCAACCACGTTTACGATCACTAGACCAAGGCAGTCATGTGTGTGTTAAGAAAAAAAGTAAATAAGTAGATATGAAAGATTACCTGTGTGGAACAGATGCGGCTGAGAAAATATACTCGCTCATAAAAGCCGATGCTATGATAGGCAGCGCGACCAACAGTATATTCCTCAATTGGAACCATCCAAACTGTCCCAGCTCGTTCACCAGTACATCATCCAGGTCTAAAGGCTTTTCGAATACACTTTTCCTCCTACTTTCAGCTTCACTCCCCTTACTATAGCTTGGAGGTTCTGCTATATCGCTATTCTGAATTTCCGCCATAATGCTGTCGGAGCTCAATTTTAAAAATTACTTGACCTTCTTCTTCACGAAACCTAACAGAATGAAAAAACCTAATGAAACTTCCAACTTTTTAATGACTATTCATATTATTACAAGATACATTATCGGTAGAGATAACATCGGTATTTGGGAAGTCACGTGTACGAAACGAAACATATTCATATTTAAATAGATTAAGCATAACTAATGCGCACATCATCAACTTTTTTATATTCTAAGCCAGCGCTCAACTAACTATCCCACATGATGATAAGGTGATGCAGCCGAAGATGCTAAAGCACACTTAAACTACTTAAAGTTAAAACTTAAAGTTTTTTTTTCTGAAATTTACAACTATCATTACAGAATTACCTAATGCGATAGTGTAGCTGTCTAACTGATTTGTGAAGATTATTTAATTTTTGTAACAAATTACAAACAGTGCTGTCTTTGTGAATTCACTCAGAGTACAACAAAACAGGTCCGTCTCACAAGCTATTAAGTTGAGCGTGCGGAGTGCGCGCGTCAGAGGTGCCTCACTCAGAAGGTTGGTGCGACCTCGCGGCTCCACCAACAGTCGCGGCTGCCGTCGGCGCCACACATACCTCTCAGCAACACATAGATTAAGCTGCCCTAATATTTCAGCATTAAACAATTTTCCTCGCAGTATATTAAAAATATACGAGGTGAACGCGAGTTCCCTCCTAACCATAGAGTAGAGTAATATTGTTACGCGCTCCAGTCAACGATACACTAGCGCCATCTAGTGTCAGGAACGAGAGCGAGGGGAGCATTGAGAAAATGACATCACAAATTACTCAACCGACAGCGCCTAGTCGAAACTCGAACGCTCGGTACCTTGCCCGTGTTTACTTGAACATTCTGGATATTTCTTTGCTAATTTAAATATATAGGCGCTGCAAGATGCGATGGAAGAGTGTTGATTTGACGAAACAAGCGAAGCTTCGGAGCGAAATTAAGTGAATTAGTGTGTTTAATTATTAGTGTTTTAACTTTAATTTGTGTAAAGTAAATTAAAGTGTTAATTTAGGTAATTTTATCGGCAATTTTTATTGTCACGAACCTCAAGCTCGTAACAATTGGTGTCAGAAGTGGGATAAAATAATGCCGATTTTACCTAAGGAGGAAACGGAGGGTGTCCGTACCCGAAGTCAACGCCAACAGGAGACGGACCAGAGGAGATTTGGTGGTGCAACGCCGCAGATGTCTGAGGGCCAGCCGCCGGCCACGGAAGCCGGTCCGTCAGCAGCTTCTACGTCTGTGGCACCTGACTTAGGTGCTCTGATGGTGATGCTGCAGCAGCTGCGGGGCGGACAGGAGGAACAGGCCCGTCAGTTGAAAGAGCAGCAGGAGGAACAGGCCCGCCGACACGAGGAACAGGCCCGCCGACAGGAGGAACAGATGCTCCTCATGAAGGACCTTCACGCTACCTTCGGAAAGGAGATAAAGGAGGTGAAGGATAGGGTTGCTCACCATGACAACCGCCTGTCGGAAGCTGAAAACCGAATCGAGAAAGCTGAAACCCGAATCGACCAAGTAAACAATCGGGTTGAAAACGTAATGGCTGACATGAAGAAATCACTGGACGAACTCAAACTTGGAGATGGAGCTACAGCTCCCGTAGTAGCTACAACACCTTCGCTACGTGGGTTCAAGGTGCCACCGTTCGATGGTACCTCTTCCTGGTCAGCCTACAAAATCCAGTTCGAGGCTGTTATGAAGGCGAACGGCTGGAATAAAAGTCAGGCCATGACTGCTCTCACACTAGGCCTGCGCGACCAGGCCTTAACAGTTCTGGAAGCTCTCGGCGAGGAAGTGACTTATGAGCAACTCCTTGAGGCATTGGAGGCGAGGTATGGCGACGCTCACCTGGAACACGTCTTTCGTGCGCAGCTTAAGGATCGCGTGCAGCGCATCAACGAAAACCTGCAGCAGTGGGCTCTAGAGGTGGAGAAGCTGGTGCGAAAAGCATACCGGTCTGTACCTGCGCTCATTGAAGGGAACCTGGTGCAGACATTCATCGACGGCATCCGCGACCTGGAAGTCAGAGCTGCTGTGAGGCTCGGGCACCACGAGACGCTTAAGAACGCCTTGGCCCATGCACTGGAAGTGGAAGCCGCGCGGCAGGATCATCGTTCCCATCGCGTCAGGGAGGTTGCGGCAGCTACAGTTCGCGACCGCAACAAAGGATACAGCCCTAGGTGCTATGGCTGTGGGGAAAAAGGCCATCTTCGAATCAGCTGCCCTAAGCGAACCGTGGAAAGGAGAGTTGATCGATCTCGAGAGGGTAGTGCAGCCAACGACACTGCCTGGCGGCGACAGGATCATCGTTCACCTCACGCTAGGGAGGTTACAGCAGTTACGGTTCGCGACCACAATAAAAGATACAGCCCTAGGTGCTATGGCTGTGGGGAAAGGGGCCATCTTCGGTCCAGCTACCCTGAGCACACCCTACGAAGGGAAGGTGAACGGTCTCAGAAAGGAAGTGCGGCTAACAGCACCGCCCAGCAGCAGCAGGAATACGACTTTACTATCAGACACTGCAGCGGGAAATCTCACGGCAACGCAGATGCATTGTCAAGAAGACCTTGTCCTGAAGATTGCAACCATTGTAGTAGGCAAGAGAGTAAGGAGGTGGTATCCGTGAGGATGCTCAGGACAGACCACCTCAGCAACGGGTGGAAGGACAACCTACGACATGCACAGCAGGAAGATCCGGACATCAAGCCGATTCTGGGATGGATGAAGGCCCGTGCTACCAAGCCTAAGTGGAGGGACGTCTCAGCGATGAGTTCAACCACGAAAAGCTATTGGGCCCAATGAGACAGCTTGCTGATTCAGGATGGTGTCCTGTGCCGTAAATGGGACAATGGTCGAAGAGACAGCTGTCGTTTGCACATGGTTGTCCCTAAAGCTAAAGTGCCGAATGTTCTACAGTTGTGCCATAATGGTCGTTCAAGAGTCCATCTGGGAGTTAAACGAACTCTACTGAAGGTCCGAGAACAGTTTTACTGGGTCCATTATCGTGACGATGTCGAGAATTGGTGTCGTACATGTACAAGTTGTGCGGCCGAGCGGGGACCTCGGACACGTAGTAGAGGAGCACCGAAATTGTACAATGTTGGTGCACCACGGGATAGGACAGCCCTTGACATTGCGGAGCCGTTACAGAAAGGCGCAAGAGGGACTCCTAAGATCGTCTATGTGAATCGCTTGGCGCGTTATTATGGGGCCGATAATGCTCGGGACGAGCATGTCTTAGGAGGGGGCAGTGTTACGCGCTCCAGTCAACGATACACTAGCGCCATCTAGTGTCAGGAACGAGAGCGAGGGGAGCATTGAGAAAATGACATCACAAATTACTCAACCGACAGCGCCTAGTCGAAACTCGAACGCTCGGTACCTTGCCCGTGTTTACTTGAACATTCTGGATATTTCTTTGCTGATTTAAATATATAGGCGCTGCAAGATGCGATGGAAGAGTGTTGATTTGACGAAACAAGCGAAGCTTCGGAGCGAAATTAAGTGAATTAGTGTGTTTAATTATTAGTGTTTTAACTTTAATTTGTGTAAAGTAAATTAAAGTGTTAATTTAGGTAATTTTATCGGCAATTTTTATTGTCACGAACCTCAAGCTCGTAACAATATATACAGAAATAGAGAGCCATCTCTTAGAATTTTTTGTCACCCAATATGAATAGTGTCGCCGTCTGGTATCATATCTCTTGAACTAATCTCAATATCATGTTGACTATAGATGTATGTCATAATAATGTGTAATATCATGATGACAATGTATGTAGTTATGTATATACAGCTATCCATACTATAGGCGGTTATATTTATATTTTAAGGGTTTAGGGTTCAATTAAAGACATATTATAGATGTCAGTAATATTAACATTTATTTTTGTTATATATATTTAACATACACGATGTAAAAGCGTCTATTCCGCAAAATACAACACCAAACCAAATTAAATATGTCCACCGGGTTACCGGAATGATAAATGAATGCGTCTATTTCGCACAACACTACACAAAAATTGGATACAATGTGGTTCCAGCATGAAAATCTAAACAGACAACAAGAAACAGAGGGCTAATCCCAACTCAACCAAACTTATTGTAACAACAACCGAAAATCACTTATAAACTATAATAAAACAACTTGCTAAGACGCCGGTAGCCATTATGTCATATAAAGTTGCTACTTGCCAGTTCGAGAATAACCAGAATTGGTGTAGTCGCCATCTAGCGCACCTTTTAGAATTTAATTTTCGAAAGTTTATGCGGATATAGTACGAGATGGCACTAGCATCTTTGCAAATTATTGAACCCCAACCTAAAGTATGGAAGTTTACCCCCCCTGCTCTTAACGCTCAGTTCATTATATTGTCGGCGCACGTCATCGCGCCTCGGCCAAAATGATGGACGCGTGGGAGCGCGGACCGGTCGCTGACCTCGCGGCAGCGCGAACACTTCTGTGTCTCACTCAGCTGCGAGACGCGGTAGCAGACGGGCACTTTATTTTTCAATTTATAATATGTTTGTTTAGAGGTTTTACGGCATTAAACCTATTGTTAATACAGTCAACTCATTTTATTTCTAAAGGCCCGATAAGGCCTAAACATATGATCCTTCGATCGCGCAAAACGTTTACCAGTTTTTGCCGTAATTAACGTCGACGAGGTCAACGGTCGCTGAGCGCAATTTGAATCCGCGGCCAGCCTCCTTCCTTGAAGAAGGAAGTCGTTCCCGTAGCAGCCTGTGTAATCATTGAAGACGCTGATGTCATCCTGGGAGTATAAAAACCGTATGTGAGTGAGTTAGTTCCAATTAGTTATTTTCCCGCTTTCTTTTCATGCCGAAAAAATTTTTTTTACATCATTCATTGGCTAAGTACACATACTTTTAATAAGTAGGTACCTAATTAACTTGAGTGCTTTAAAACTTGCTTTGTCATTGCAACGTTCGCT